GAAAGTCTGATGATGGGAGTAACTCTTGAGTATCAAATTTGTTTTACCAAATCAACTCGAGTTGTGAGAGAAATATCGCCAACTCGAGTGCACACCTCGATTTGGCGGTCCATGGAAACAATCACTGCCATCTTGGTTCCCCTCCTCCATCTTGTTCTCAACACCATCTTCGTGCCCCATCACCTCTCAGGCGTTGATCAACAACGTGTGGCCGTCGCCCCGTGCAATCACATTGGCCGATGATACTTTACACAAGCAACTGCCGCCCTTTGAGGCCACCGGCCACGGAGGGTCGGCAGTTGCTGCCACCGTTTTGTTTTCCCATTCCCGCCAATCGCAGCATCCGCCATTGCTCACCAGGTCGAGGCGTTGAGGGGTTCGGGGCGGTCGTTGTCCGTGCAGCCCCGGTTGCCATCGTCTGGTTGGTCCTGGCAGGAAATCAGACGTTCACCAATGGCTGACACCGAGCACCAAATTCCAAAAGTGTCAGACCCACCGAGGTGCGGCGGCCACGAAGTGGGAACTCTGGGGTGGCAACCGTGGGTGTAGCCGCCTGGGGCCAGTGGCGTAGCGTGGTTGGCATGGGCCCCGGTGCAAAGGATGAAGTGGAGGCTTGCCCCTAGTCCAATGTCCCCCCCCTTCTCTGCAACCCGGCGCCTGGGCCCCGGCGCAGTTGCACCGCCTGCACACTCGATAGCTACGCCACTGCCCCGGGGCTCAAGCGAGGATACGCATATCATAGTCCGGGGCGCTCATTTACATATCACGATTACGGGGCTTCCCTTGAGGGGGGCGGCTAGGGGTGACGGGACGGGGCGAGGGGGGGGGTGTCGGGGAACCCCCTGTGCCCCCTCCATCACTACGGCCCTCCTAGGTCCCCCTCAGAGGGGGCCAACCGCCCCCCCCCCCTCTCCCATCTAATTTTTTCCGCGCAAAATCCGGCTCCGTGCGCCGCGCCCCGGGGTTTAACTTGGGCTTTCTTGGCTTTGCGGCTCGGCTCTCCACGTCAGGGGTGGGATGGGGGTCTATGGGGGGTCTGTGCGGGGTCTGTGGGGGGTCTGTGGGGGTCTGTGGGGGTCTGTGGGGGGTCTGTGCGGGGTCTGTGGGGATCTGTGGGGGTCTGTGGGGGCCCCGGGTTCACAATGGCCAACGCCGAGCGGGGAGAGCCGCAGCCCGCGGGCTTGAGTAGCCCACGGTCACTGCTAACCACGCTATTTATGATTTACATTCCATTTTTTCTACTTTTTAAATTATTGATGTATTTATAGACTCTTGCCGTGATTATTGATCGTTAATTTATTTTATTTACTTATTAATGCGTTTCGGGTGTAAAAAATAACAAATTGAACACGTGTATTGCGGTCACCTTTAGGCATATAAATACCATAGTGGCATTAACGATGATTGATGATGGTGATGATATTGATGATGATATTGATGATGATGATGACGAAGATGATGATTTATGGATTGATAATTTATGTAACAATTTGACTATTTATTGACAAGTTGTTTCCACTGTGTGATTCGTTACCGGCTCTGTCCATTCACCATTGGCGAATCAGGGGGATTAAAATAAATCCTCAGGAATACAATATATTTATTTAAAAAAAAACAGCCCATTAACATTAAGAAATATTACTTTAACACAACACGCAAGAATTCGTTCAATTCAACCACCGCCAAGCAAATATGGCATTTTTCAAACCTCGTGTGTGTTGTTGGCCGTCCGGGTCCTTTGCTAATTGTGCTAAAAACTAAACAAAACAACTTGAAGAATCTCACATTTGTCTAAGCGCGTAAAATGTATGTATCCACTTTGAACGTTTTAAACTCGAGGTAAACCCTCTGGCCTGGCAGCATTACCCAACAGGTTTAGAGGCTTCTGACAGCGCAAGGGACAGCTGGAGGTAAAACATCCATTGTGACACAACGTGTATCTTCAGGTAAGGGCTTCACACTGTAGGCAAGTTGCATGGTACATGTAAAGCAACTCTGCTAATCCACTGCTGGATGTTTCCTCACCGCACTGGTCATTGCAATTTGGCGAAGACTGAAGGGTTGGTGGTGGTGGGTGGGGGGTGGATTCAGATAAAAGTCGCCACTGAAGTTGGCCCTAGCCGGGGATGGAACTTAGGTCGCCCGGGTTCAGTGCAAAGGATATGTCTCACTCAAGGTGTTGTAAACACAGACCCGCCATTGCCACATCTCAGAGGTAACCCCCTCTGCAATGACAAAGGTTGCGTCACCCACCAATGCCATCTCTCCGTGTCGAGCGGTAAACCCTCTGCTCCGACGTGGAATTTGACATCCGAGAGGTTTTTGAACTCCCCACCGGCACGGCCACAGTGAACCCCGCACCCCAAAACCAGACGAGACCCCTCGAGAGACTGAAGGCCGCACGACTTCAAGGGAGACGCCCGATGCACTTGAGAGTCAGAACACATCGCCGATCAACAGCCTCGCGGCAAAAAGGGAAATATAACACGAGCTGCGTCTGCAGGTTTCAAATAAAGCCTCTGCAGGTTTCAAATGAAGCCTCTGCAGGTTTCTAATAAAGCCTCTGAAGGTTTCAAATGAAGCCTCTGCTCTGGCAACGCCCGAGCAGCTCGTGGTCATCCCAAACAGCAACAAAATCTCTGCAGGTAAATGGATCTGCTGCTGTGGTGCACAACATCGTCGTGCGTGTGTCTGTCAGTCTGTGTGTCTGGGCCAAATGCCCACATGCCCCAGCCACCACCGCATGACCCAGCCCACCACCGCATGGCCCAGCCCACCACCGCATGGCCCAGCCCACCACCACATGCCCCAGCCACCGCATGACCCAGCCCACCACCGCATGGCCCAGCCCACCACCGCATGGCCCAGCCCACCACCACATGCCCCAGCCACCGCATGGCCCAGCCCACCACCGCATGGCCCAGCCCACCACCGCATGGCCCAGCCCACCACCACATGCCCCAACCACCGCATGGCCCAGCCCACCACCGCATGCCCCAGCCACCGCATGGCCCAGCCCACCACCGCATGCCTAAACAGCTTTTGTTCGGCCGGATCGAGGGGGCTAAACGGGCGCGGCACGGGCTAGAGAAGAGATGGAGTGATGTGGTACAGGAGGACGTGGAGCTGAGTGGACTTGCCGATGACTGGTACCAGCGGTGTCAAGATCGGCCTCTGCGGAGGAGGCTCGTGAAGGACGCTACTGGGCAGTTGGAGGCAGTCGCCCTCCAGCAACTGCGAAGGGCGGAGGAGCGACGCTCACAACAACGAGCGGAGCGCCGGGTGGCTAAAGCACAGCAAGTTGGCACAGTAGGGGGCTACAGGTGGTGCATCAGCCAGTCATCTCGGTCATCTCAGTCAGTCGACCTGTGGAATCTGGGTCTGCCCCGTGACCTCCTGCCAGCGGGCGTTCGACACTTCACGTGACCTCAAGGTGCACCTAGTCTGGCACAAGCGTTGTGGTGACGTCACCGCCACTCAGTGGCGAATGGCGCTTGTTGTTGTTGTGTGTCTGTGCGCGGCCTTAACATGGGAGAATGGAAATGGGCACCACCCTCCCAGCAGCAAGCCCAATACCGACAGGCCGCCGCTCGCCACGAAGTGACGGCGATGTGAACCACGGCGCCTGTGCCAGGCCAGGTGCACTTCGAGGCAACAGGCGAAGTGTCGAAGGCTCGCCGCTGACAGGGCCCCCCCCCAGGCGGTGCCGAGTCGAGCCCCCCCGAGACGAGCCCCCCCGAGTCGAGCCCCCCCCGAGTCGAGCCCCCCCGAGTCGAGCCCCCCCGAGACGAGCCCCCCCGAGACGAGCCCCCCCCGAGTCGAGCCCCCCCCGAGTCGAGCCCCCCCGAGACGAGCCCCCCCGAGTCGAGCCCCCCCGACGCGTCTCACGCGAAGCGCGGACACGCGCAGCAGCCTCGGGGGGGAGGGCGACCGGAAACGGAACCGCGGGTCGTGGGGGGATTGGGGAGGGGGCGGGAGAAAGTGGGGGGAGGGAGGAGGGAGGGGGGGTTAGTGGGGGGGGGGGTAGTGGTGGGGGGGGGGGTTAGTGGGGGGGGTTAGTGGGAGGGGGTTAGTGGGGGGGGGGGGTTAGTGGGGGGGGGTAGTGGTGGGGGGGGGGTTAGTGGGGCGGGTTAGTGGGAGGGGGTTAGTGGGGGGGGGGGTTAGTGGGGGGGGGGGTAGTGGGGGGTTCGTGTAGTGGTTAGCGCCACGCTGCGCTCCGAGCCCCGTGACCCGATTTAGATTCCCGCTCACGGCCAACACCGGTGGCGATTATCCGAGCCGGTCCTGTGCCTCTCCTAGGTCGACTCGGCCTCGAAATGAGTACCTGGTGTAGCGGTGTGCGGCAAACATCGCCACTGGGGAGACAAAGGCGGTTGGGGGAGTGGTCCTGGCCACCCGCCCCCTCGTGTGCCACCGTGCCGGCCTTTCGTAGCTAGCTACTCGCTCACAGCACTTGCCCCGACAGTCCGTCGAGGCTACTCGGGGGTCTTTGTGTGTGGGGGGGGTGGGGTAAGGGGGGGGTTGGGGGGATTGGTAAGGGTTAGTGGGGGGGGTTAGGGGGGAGGGGTCAGGGGAGGGAGGAGTTGGGGGAAGGGTTGGGGGGGTTAGGGGGGCGGGGTTATAGGGGGGGTTAGGGGGGAGAGGGAGGGGTGGGGGGGGTTGGGGGGGAGGGGTCAGGAGGAGGAGTTATAGGGGGTATTGGGGGGTGTTGGGGGGGGTGGGGGGGGTTGGGGAGTTGGGGGGTTGGGGAGTTGGGGGGGAGGGGGGTTGGGGGGGAGGGGTGTTGGGGGGGAGGGGTCAGGGGGAGGAGGAGTTATAGGGGGAGTTGGGGGGTTGGGGGGGGTTGGGGGGAGTTAGGGGTTGGGGGGGAGAAGTCAGGGGGAGGAGTTATAGGGGGAGGGGTGTTGGGGGGGAGGGGTCAGGGGGAGGGGTCAGGAGGAGGAGTTATAGGGGGGGTTGGGGGGGGTTGGGGGGTTGGGGGGGGTTGGGGGGGTGGGGGTAGCGCGGCGGTTGGGGCTCCGTCCGGTGATGAATCGATAATCGCGGGAGCCGGAGCGGGAGCGGCTCTCATCCCTCCCCCCCTGCTGCTGCTGCTGCTCCTCTCTCCGCTCTCATCACTCCCGCCGCCCGCCAGTCTCGGGCCCCCCGTCTCCCCTCGCCTCTCCCCGGGGGGCACTCAGGGAGAGCTCCACAGCAGGTGACCCCCCCCCCCTTCTCGTCTTTAACTCTTGTGACCCCCCCCCCACACCGTCCCTTCGCTCCTCTCCCCTCTCCTCTGGGCTGCAGGACGTGGCGGCCCGTGGGGGTTAGAGGGGATGGGGCTTTGATGTAAAGTCGGAGCCAGGGTTTGTTGTGCACAGGGGATCTATCTGCCAGGGGTCAGGGGTTGAGTTTAAAGTTTCTCCCCCGAGGCGGAGGTGACAGAGTTGGACTCGGGGTGAGAGTTGGACTCGGGGTTTAGAGTAAAACTCAGGATTATAGTCGGGGTTCAGGCTAAACTTGAGTGTGGACTACAGAGCGTCAACATGCCACACGCACACACAAGACCCCCCCCCCCCCCCCCCCCCGTGTAAGGCGACGTGGGTTGTTCGGGCAAGTGTTGTTACGGTCGGAAAGGGCGCGCGAAGTGTGCGGAAGCACCGCGCCTCGGCCGCGTCCGTCTCGCTGTGCGAACGTCTACACGCCGCGCCAGCTGATCGATGCACGCCGCTGATTAACGCGGTTGGCCGTGAGCGGGAATCGAACTTTGCGAGGACCACTGCGCCCCCCCCCCCACCGGCTCCTGCATGTCCACACAGCGCACACAGTCCCACACTGCATACAAAGATCCCCCGTGTAGCCTTAACGGACTCATGGGGCAAGTGCTGTTAGCGAGCACCTGTGAAGGCCGGAATGGCACACGAGGGGGTGGGTGGCCAGAACCACGCCCGGCCGCCTTTGTCTCCCTAGTGATGATGTTTACACATCGCACCAGGTACTCATTTGAGGCTGAGTCGACCTAGGGGAGGTTCAGGTAATCGTCACTGGGTGTTTGCCGTGAGCGGGAATCGAACCCGGGTCGCCAGGTTTGTATCGCAGCGCGCTAACCGACAGACACACACACACACAGACACACAGACAGACACACACAGACATACACACAGACAGACAGACAGACACACACAGACAGACACACACAGACAGACACACAGACAGACACAGACAGACACATACACAGACACACACACAGACACACAGACAGACACACACACAGACAGACACATACACAGACACACAGACACATACACAGACACACAGACAGACACACACACAGACACACAGACAGACACACAGACACATACACAGACACACATTGTGATCACAGCCTCCCCTGCCCTCGTCTCCTCCCCACGCCGTGCCGGTTGCCAAGACGCTCCGAGTTTAAAACAAATCAAAACCGAAAAAAACCCTAAACCGGTTTACGCGTGAGGGAAGACTGTGGTGCAAGGAACGAAAGAGGAATCTCAGACTTGACCCAGTCCCATGAGTTGGTCGCGGGGTTGGTCCAAGGTTCGAGTCCATGACTTTGCTGCTTCTGGTTTCTGATCCTGGACTTGAGTCCAGAGATTGATTATTGGGTCAAATGTCGCGATTGACTCGCAGCTCCGATGCAGCGACTCGTCCCCAGGTTTTAACGAGGGTGCTTGAGTCCCTGGCCACGTTTGTACACCAACTCGTATCAAGGTTTCAAACAAGACACCAACTGTGTGAAAAGTAGAACGGCCGGAGTGCACATGCACAGAAACAAGAAGGGACATTGTGGTCCTGTTATATGAGGTGACCATCAAATTACGTTCGAGCAATTGTGACTGGTTGATAGCAGCAGCAGTGATGACTGACGATACGGTCATGGACAACTCAGGACCTGTTTCAGCATCACGGGGACTCAGTCAGCGCAGTAGTCAGCAAATTCTGTCGCCGGGAACCGTGAATGTTGAAGGTCTTCACTTCCACTCTCTGGGGCCCATGAGCTTGGCCAATGCCACCGGTAATCGCGTCTGCAAATGACGAGAACCCCCCTCCCACCCATGACAACAGAATAATACTGCCGTGCAGGCTGGAATGTGCAGTGCATACCTACGGGCGACAGTATCTGCCCATGGATTGTGGTAATGATGCAGGCTGGAAAAAATACACACGCTTCAAACACCACGCAGGCACACTGCCTTTGAGCATTGTGCATCAGCATTCCCAGAAGACGCGCAGTGTGGTCCCCTTGTCTTAGCTGACGACCAAAATACATCTGAGCAAAATGTGTACAGGTCCTGACCCCAAATCTGGCACCCAGCGGTGGGCTGTACCACTCGAGTCTGTTTGGGGGGGGCTCGCCCCCACCACGTGCCCTCAACCGCTTGCACCGCCCCCCCCCCTCGCCACGACCCAAGACAAGGCAACGGACCCCCCCCCCTCTCTCTCAGACTGGACCACACCGCAGGAGCCGCGGCGAACGAGGACCAAGGAGAGCAGAGGCAGCGCCCAAGCACCGAACAATGGACTCGCTCCGCCGGAGATCCCCCCTGCGTTTGTGCGACTTGGGCTCGCCCGGGCATGCCCTGGGCACTCAGGTGAAAACGCATGGGTTTCTTGATTGAGTGCAGAAGCAGACTGCTTACTTATTTTGTTAAATTCTCCACAACAGCCCGAATGATTGTTCTGTGTTATGTAATTTATAGTTTTGAATCAGTGCCAATATCTAACAGCGATGGGCCTTGCCTATAAACATGTTGGCAGTCCACCAGCATTTGTTTGAAGCAAAGCCTGACTGCTGATGAGACACTCAGCGTCGAAGCCGGTCCGGGGTTTTGCTTGCGCTGAACCATTGCCGCTGAGATGATGCAATGATGCACTCCCACACCGAAGGCCGTGTGGCTGATGCGATGTGTAAACAATACTTGATATTTTGTACATGTGGAGAGAGGGATATTTGACCGAGGCGTATTGTCATCTTATGTATTTATGATAAATACAAATCATAGTACAAATACATTTTTATAGGAATGTGCAGCCCTTTGTCAATCCACTCCTGCTACCAGGTCACGCGGTGGGTGGCTCATGAGACCGACAATTGAAACTGGAGTTAACACAAACAGCAGTCCTTATGTCGATCCACTGCTGGATGAGGGATTCCCAGCACCGTGCAGGCCACGGGGGGTTGTTTGACCATACTTCACCATGCTTGGTTGGTTAAGGGAATGGGTCTGGATATATCAATCGCCACTGTTGTTAACCGCAGGAATCGAAATCAGGTTTGTGGGTTAGTAGCACAGTGCCTTAACCCAGGGCTCCACCACAAAATAATCTTGGTCCGGCACGATTCGTCTTGATCCAGCACGAATCCATCACTGCGGCAAACCTCCATAGATGGGGCAAAGCCTGGTGATCCGGACAGCCTCGGCGTACCGGGACACCCTCGTCGTACCAGCGAAAAACTGTTGAAATAAATAAAAAGTAGATTTACACTTAGACAAGGATAACTGGACTACTGGAGCAATAACAATGTAGTATCGCTGCGTACTTGAAATTGCGCGGCCCGCCTTTGGCATGTTGGGAGTATAACGCGGTATTTTTGGGCGACCCGTCAAAAAGAAATCACGTAAGTTGCAGTTGAAACTGGCCAACGCGGAGCTCACGAATGCAACGGCGTGCAGAGTAACGCTGCCGTGGGCGCCGGTCACGTGTCCACGGCGCTCGCAGACGGCGCCAGCCTGGGGCAAGACTGCGCAGCCACCGCTCCAGAATCGGATGTTGTCGTGCGAATCAAAGTTGGCTTGTGGTTTAGTCGGACGATTCCGTTCAGTCAAAGATTTTTGATGTAGCTTGTTATGGGTTTAAAAATATATATACATATAGAAATTAGAAAGCAACAGTAAATCGAATTGCACACTCTTAATTGGGGATTGGAAATTAACTTTTTGGAGGAATCGCACGCAGCTGGGTACCCCACCTCTGAATTATCCCAGGTTCTCGGGGACAAGTTGCCATAATGATGATTATTTTTTACCCAGGAAAGTCATTGTTAGCCTGTTGGGCCAACGTTGGCTCAATGTTGGCACGTGGTATGTTTTTAGCTATGGGAAGAAACCGGAGAACACGGAAGAAACCTATGCGGAACAGGGGCAGAATGAACAAACTGCACACAGTCAGCAATCATGAGATCAACAGTGATAACAATAGGACTGTCAGTGGCGCGGTTTTAAAGGGGCGCCGTTCATCCTCCGCCAGATCGGACTGGAGCCACGGCGGCCCTTCGGCTCCACTCCCACGACGCACTGCGACTATGACGTCGGCATGGGCAGGTAACGGCCGCACGCCTCACCGCGCACGCGACGCGCAGAACCACACTCGGCTTGGAATGCGATGGCGAAGTGAAGGCACCCCGCCCGCAGGCGCAGCCGCCCCGGCGACACCGCGCTGGGGGCCCCCTTCACGACGGGCCCCGCCTCCGCGACGGGACCCACCTCCGCACCGGGGCTCTCCGACTCCGCTCCGTACGACACCTCGCCCGTGAGGCTCCGCCGCACCTCGCCCGCGAGGACCTTCGTGTCGGGGCCCGCCTCCTCCACGGGCCTCCGCGACGGCCCCTCGCCCGCGAGGCCCGGCCCCCCTTCGGGGCTGAGCGAGACCCCCCCGCTCAAGGTGGCGCGGAGCTCCGTGGGGGGGTATCCCTCGACCCCGCCGACGCTCCCCGCCGCGGAGTCGGGCCCCGTCGCGGAGGAGGGCGGATCCGCCTTGGAGGTGTGGGCCCTGCGGGGGTCGCTGACCCAGAGCGAGCGGCGGCGGGGCCTGCTGGCGGACAGCCTACGGGAGGCTTGCGGGGCCCTCGCCGAGCAGGCGAGCCGCCTGCAGCGGCGGCAGGCCGAGCTCACGGACAGCCGCGCCACCGTGGAGGAGCTCACCGTGCGGCAGAAGGTACGGCGAGCCCATGACACTCACCACTGAGACGCTCACCACTGTGACGCTCACCACTGAGACACTCACCAGGGTCACGTGGGTGCCAGCGGGCACACGCCAGGGGTGGTAGGAGCAGTCGCGTCGTGTGGTTGGCATGGGCTCTGAGCAACAAATGAATCGGCGCCCTCCCCCCCCCTCATTCAGTCAGTTTCCTGCCGCTTTATAGCCCGGTGCTGGCCGAGCGCTGGGCGACGCCGCCGCCGCCGCGCGTGGTTGTGGCTGTGAGCGTGACGGCACAAGTGGCCTTCCGTCCCCGCGTATGCGCTTGCAGTACCTGGAGAGCAGCATCGCGGCGCTGGAGAGGGAGCGCAAGCAGTTGGGCGCGGGCGCCGGCACGCACCAGCGAGGCCTACAGGAGAGGTGAGACCCGCGCGGGTCGCCCCCCTTCTTGCCCACTGCTACTACCGCGGTGACGCTTCCCGTGAATTTCGATGGTTGATTCCTCCGCCTGCGTTGAGGACTCGGTCTACAAGCCACGGCGTTCAACCACAACACGGCAAATTACAACATTCTCACCGACTCACTAACGCACCCACCCACCCACCCACCACACCGCAGGTCACCTCACTTCTCTTTCTGCTTCCTCCCTCGCACTGCTCCACTGCTGGAATCCCCTCTCCCATCATCGTCTCTCTCCCTCCAAGCTCTTACAAGAATATCCTTGCTCAATTCAAGAAACGCATTACACTCTCATCGATCAAACCTTTGGCAGTGCTGTTTGTTGCTGGTCGCTTTGTGTTTTGGATATTTTGGTCTGCGCTCAGCAAACTGTGCGAAAACAACTCTTTGGTTTTTTCAGTAAAGTCACGTAGAAAGAAAATAAATAAATATTAGAATACGACGTTTCGATTGCAACACAAGCAACCGTCATCAGGTATGAGTTAATGAGATAACAAATCTAGTAAACTTAGAAGTGTAATGCAATGCATCACAGAGAGCCGGTTAACACGACAGTTAACACTTTACATGGTTGATTACGTTCTTCCAAAGATTGCTAAATTTGAAGTTAAGTGTGAGTTGTGTGGAAATCTTCCCCGTAGAGGTAGTTCCAACTTGTTTTGAAGCTTTCGTGACTGCAGGAATTACTATATCGTTTGTCAAGTTCCAATTTCTCTCCTCCGGCCGCTCTCATTGACATGCTAATTTCTCTGCCTCCCCCCCCACCATATAATGCCCGTCACAGAGTCGTTGTTTCTCTGTGTGTCTCTGTGTGTGTCTCTCTCTGTGTGTCTTTGCGTGTGTCTCTCTGTGTGTGTCTCTCTCTCTGTGTGTGTCTCTATCATCTTGTGTATCTCTCTATGTATCTCCGTGTTTGTGTTTTTTCTCTCTAAAATTTAGCAATCTTTGGAAGAACGTAATGAACCAGGTAAAGTGTTAACTGTCGTGTTAGCCGACTCTCTGTGTTGCATTGCATTACATTTCTAAGTTTAATAGGTTTGCTTTCTCAGTAACTCATACCTGATGATGGTTACTTGTGTTGCAATCGGAACATCGTATTCTATTATTTATTTAATTTTCTCTCTACGCGACTTTACCGAAAGAACCAAAAAGTAATTCCTGCAGTCACGAAAGCTTCGAATCGAGTTTGTGCTAAAACAAATACAAACTAACAACCCCTCACTCGAGCTTTCGCCACGCACTCCTCTGGGCATCGTCAGCAACCGAAGTGAGGAATCTCACTCCCGGTCTCATGAAGATGCCCGCAGCAGCGCGTGGCAAACGCTTGAAGGAAGAAAGTGAAGTTAATAGGCGCTCGCCGACAACCCCAGGGTGCGGCGCCTGGAGGAGCAGATATCGGACGCGCGGTCGTCGTTGGACGAGGTTGCCACGGAGACGAGGCGGCGGCGCTCGCTGGAGAGGGTGCGTCTCGACGCGCAGGCGCTGGCGCGGGCCCGCACGGTACGGGGGACACGCGCTCGGGTGTGCACACGCGCAGATCCACACCTGTATGGGATGGCACACGCGCTCGGGTGTGCACACGCACAGATCCACACCTGTATGGGATGGCACACGCGCTCGGGTGTGCACACGCACAGATCCACACCTGTATGGGATGGCACACGCGCTCGGGTGTGCACACGCACAGATCCACACCTGGATGGGATGGCACACGCGCTCGGGTGTGCACACGCACAGATCCACACCTGTATGGGATGGCACACACGCTCGGGTGTGCACACGCGCAGATCCACACCTGTATGGGATGGCACACGCGCTCGGGTGTGCACACGCGCAGATCCACACCTGTATGGGATGGCACACGCGCTCGGGTGTGCACATGCACAGATCCACACCTGTATGGGATGGCACACACGCTCGGGTGTGCACACGCACAGATCCACACCTGTATGGGATGGCACACGCGCTCGGGTGTGCACACGCACAGATCCACACCTGTATGGGATGGCACACGCGCTCGGGTGTGCACACGCACAGATCCACACCTGTATGGGATGGCACACGCGCTCGGGTGTGCACACGCACAGATCCACACCTGTATGGGATGGCACACACGCTCGGGTGTGCACACGCGCAGATCCACACCTGTATGGGATGGCACACACGCTCGGGTGTGCACACGCACAGATCCACACCTGTATGGGATGGCACACGTGCTCGGGTGTGCACGCGCACAGATCCACACCTGTATGGGATGGCACGCACACTCGGGTGTGCACACGCACAGATCCACACCTGTATGGGATGGCACGCACACTCGGGTGTGCACACGCACAGATCCACACCTGGATGGGATGGCACACACGCTCGGGTGCACACGCACAGATTCACACCTGTATGGGATGGCACACGCGCTCGGGTGTGCACACGCACAGATCCACACCTGTATGGGATGGCACACGCGCTCGGGTGTGCACACGCACAGATCCACACCTGTATGGGATGGCACACACACTCGGGCGTGCACACGCACAGATCCACACCTGTATGGGATGGCACGCACACTCGGGCGTGCACACGCACAGATCCACACCTGGATGGGATGGCACACGCGCTCGGGTGTGCACACGCACAGATCCACACCTGTATGGGATGGCACACGCGCTCGGGCGTGCACACGCACAGATCCACACCTGTATGGGATGGCACGCACACTGTTGTATATGTTGGTTATCAAAATTTGTTATGTTGTATGCGTGCGTGGGTGAAATTATTATGTTGTATATGTGGGTTATGAATATTCAGTGAAAATAATAATAATTAAATGAAATTTGGCCAAATGTGTAATTATCCGGAAATATGTTAATTTATGTAATTACGCACATTTTAATTATGCCAATTCGAGAGGTAATCGTATTAATTATGCGAGTGGGTGTAATTATGATAATGCAAGTCGTTATGATAACCAGACCCCGCCTCGGTGATGAGGGTGGGTTATCGATCGGAATAAGGCAATTAATCGTATGCAGTTATGCAGGTGTGGTGTAAGTATGCAAGATTAACTTAGATTAACTCGGCATCGTTGTCTAGGTTCGTCTCATTCTCGCTTTAACATTCCCAGAGTGTGTATTCGTGGTTATATTTTAGGTCCCCGGTTCACCCCGTTATCGCTTTAACATTTACTGAGTATGTGTTAGTGTGTTTATTAAGGTCACCAAGTTCAGATCTCAACGCAGAAGCAGATCTTATGCATAGATTTCAGGAAAGAATCACACAACCACTTCTGTATTGATCAATTTATTACTAATTCAACCTTAACTATGATATAGTATGCGAACTCTCAATCCCGGAACGTCAACACGGCATCAATACAGTATCATCAACGATTGTCTGATTTCACTTTGACAACGGCACATGGATCCCGCATAACGCGATGGTTGTTAGTGAGAGAGAGAGTCGTTAAAATATGCAAATACTATGCTAAGAAAACCTTAACGTTAATGAATGATTATACTCAATTTTGTTCACGCAGTACCGCACTCCTTATTGATCATACGCAACCCTTATCACGTTGTTAGCACCTTGGGTCACGGGACAGTTGAATATTCTGTAGAGGATGCGAGTACGTGCGGCGATTATGACTGAAAGATACTTGAAAGATTATACGGCGATAAAAAAACACAATCAAAAACAGTTATTATTCTTAAAGGCATCCAATCTCAACAGATACATCGGCAGGTTATCTGACAACAGAACGGCTCGGAGTAAGGGCCTGCGACGGTGCTCCTTTTCCGAAGATCGTTATCTTATACCAAGTTTACTAATTGGGGACCAGATCACCTGATAAGGATCCGGTGGGCCACCACTCCCCACGTGAGCGTGGCTCGGCGGAAGGAGGTGCCAAAAATCAGTTCGTATTGATGGATCTGTTGGGAATTTATGCGATTAAGAGTACAGCCCACTAAATATTAAAGATAAAAATTACGAATACTTTTATAAACGACGGATGGCCATCACTCGGTCTCGTTGTGATGCCTTCCCAGCCACGGATGGCTTATGGGTTCGAGTGTGTTTGAGTGGTAAGAGTTGTCTTGAATAGTCAGTGTTCGGAGTCGATTCTTTATGTCAAACAGACGCCTGGTGGTCGTGTGGTGAGGGGGCGGTGCGCGTCATACGTATCAGTCGCTCCCCTGTCACCGTGGGGAACTGGTTCGGATGCCCGTTGATACGCTGTCGCAGTTCGGAACCCGGTCGGTAGGTGGCGCCCACAACTCGCTCGCAGCGTGCAGTGGTGGGGTCGTCGTGTGCACGGAGCCTCGTCGCCAAAACCGCGACCCTCGCCACTCCGGCGGCAGCAGAGACCTCCGACTCGGCAGAGGTTGACCCACGCAGGCCGAGTTGAGCTGTCAAGCGGGTCTTACCCGCCTGCAGAGGAGATGGGGAGCCGCTTGAGTCGAGCCCCGAGAGCCGGCTTTGGCAAGCCGATCGAACTCGGCTGAGTCCCAGACGAGCTGAAGATGAGTCGAGCCGACCCGCTGGTCGCAGCTCGCTCCTGAGTCGACCCGCTGGTCGCACCCCCCACGTGAGCCGACCCGCTGGTCGCACTAATTTCCAATGCTCAGGATCCTTTCCTTTATGCCGAAAAATCCCCCTGGATCCCGCCCACAAGGCGGGGCTTCTTTTCGATTTTTGCTGTGTCAGGATCTGTCCGTAGGCAGGTGTGTCCATGTGTGTGTCCGTACGTCCGTATGTCCTTGTGTGCATCACTCACGGTATTCCGTTGTCACACTCCCTCCATAAAACCCACGAGCAAACAATCAGATGTTACAAATTGCCTCGAGGTCGTCTCTCTGTCTGGGTGCAATATTATCTCTTGTCTGGCCTTCTTCATGAACCCAAAACACAGACGTTACAAATCGTCTCATAGGCGTCTTTGTTCGTGTTGCACCACCTGGAGGGAGGGGCAACACTCTCTCCGACCCGGCGCACAAAGAAATGGTTAAGAAGTTTTAAGTTAACATTTGTCCCTTACTATTTCACAGTTATGATTCTGTATGTAACCTAAGGTCTGTCGTTTCCCATCGTGGTGCTTGACTCAAGTGGAGGTGTTTCCCCGAGCGTATACACACTCCTATCCCGCGCTGCGGAGATACAAAGACGGCCGGGATCTCCCTTTCTCTCCGACCCTGGGTTTAACATCGTTTTTTTATTATGTATTTATATTCGACCTGGTGGTGATTCATCCCGTTATCCTGGCTTTTCATAAGTTTTACTTTTGTCTTTTCATGCATATGCTTCGGGTCGAGTTGTATAGAAAGCATTAAAGTATGGAAATAACATTTCATATTGACTTAATGATGGTGATGGTTCAGTAGGCGTACTTGTGACCTGGTTTAATTGGAGTGGGTGTGAATATCAAACTTTAGCCTACCCTGTTGTTAAATTCCGACTTTAACGTTACTTTAATAGCAATACAGAATAATTGAGCTTTTTGTCTTAACTAGGCGAACGCGAACTTCTGGTGACCCCCGCAGCCTTGTTGTTCAGCTGGGTCTGCATCCTTGAGAGATATACAACCCTCTTATTCTCGTCTCACCGTGGCCATCACCTTCTGCTCTGGGAGTGTTATTCTTAATTTCAGGTCCAGGGCCCCCTCACGTTCAGACGTGCAGGGTTGTTTAAATCAGCTCCCTCCCCTGTGCACACAGCCTTGAGCTGACCCACTTAATTTAATTTCTTGGCCTTCTTGGGTTTATCTTTGCTCCCTCAGCTGCAGGAGGACAAGGCGTACTTCTACCTCCCCCCCTGTGTGCACGTGTTCCAACTAGCTCGGAATCCCTAAACACACAATCAGTGATGATTCCTGGCTTTCTGTGGTTGTGATTTAGACAAAGGCGCCTCTGTTTTCTTCCATTGCCTTTGAGTCGACACTGCCCTATTATTTGCCCATGTGCTGAGGTCATAGAATTCGTTTTGACTTCAGTAATATTAACATTCAGTATTGGATTAGCAAATGGGCAATGGTTCATTGATGTAGCTCGCAGCCTGGTCTCCAATTTGAGCGAGCGCGAGGATCGATACTTTAGCCTACTCTGTTGTTGAATTTCGAATTTTGACGTTACTTTAAAACCATGCAGGATGGTTGGGCTTTTTGCCTTAACTATGTCTGGCTGACACTCCCACTGTCTCTGCCGCCTGCACGGGTGACATGTGCCCGTTCATCAGGCCTTATCTTTCCTTGAAGCAAGGTTGCAAATTCTGCCATCCTAGCCCTCCTCCAGTTCATCACTTAACAACACCTGGTGTTTTGCAGTTTGCTGCGCTTTGGTGTGTTTAAAAAAACAAGTAAAAAGATAATATATAAAAATCATCAAATATTATTAATCTCAATTTTGGAGGAAGGGTTAGTATACAACATTCCGCCCTTTTAAAAATGACCAGTGGTCAAATGGCCACGGGTCATTTTTAAAAAAATATGTATACCCTTCTTCCATCATGAA